AACCCCCTCGGGGAAAACATCAAATTATGAAATTGGTAAAAAATTCAAAACAAACGGCAAAGCAAGCCCTCAAGTCCCGACATGTGGGTAACTGAGGGACTGCCTTCAGCAGGGGCGTGAAAGCAACATCTCCTCACCAACTTCAGAGGTTACGACAGGACAACGTCAAAGGGCAAGCACAAATTACTCCTTTTCCCTCAAGTACCTTTCGGCAAAAGGAGTGAGGGACTCCTGATGGAGTATATGGCCCGGGAACCCCCGGCCCACAGACTCCTACTACTCCAGCGAAGGCCCAATAGGCCCAGAAGGCCCAACAGGCCCAAATCACAGCACCCAGAGTACCAAGCAGCCCGCACTACGCGCCAGGGGTGCCTTCGGTCCCCTGGCCGAAGGCTCTAAACTCTCACAGAACGGGTTTCTCAAGCAAATTAAGAAACTGGGAGAAAACGGCGAAAACAGTAGCCTTCGGCACTATGAGCCCTCAGCACCAGGGTGCCATCGGTTTGAGGAGCCCTCGGCTACTGCTCTATAGTCGAAGGCATCTCACTCGACAAGATATCCGCCTCACATGCGTACAGATCACCGTACCCTGCACAGACGTCCCATCCAACAGCCGCATTAAATGCGGCCACATGCGGCTGCCAGCGCCAACCAGTTGAGGTGACCCCTCGGCCAATAGGCGCTTGACACGTGTCCCTGTCTGGCATTTATTACTACTATAAATAGCCCCCCATTTCCCCATTTGTAACCACGACATTCAGACTGAATACACTCTCTCTCTTACTTACTTGTGCTCTGACTTCTCTCTAAGATATTCCCAGCAATAACCCTTCGGATATATACCCCCGGGTAGACTATCCATCAAGTACTTATTTGCAAATACTTATATTTTCCAAGTGAAATATATTGTCAATTAATTTAGTGCCATGTTTATACATGAGAATGACAATTACAATATTATTAATTTTAGTCAATATTTTTGTACAAATTATTTTCTACTTTGAATCTGAAATTGCCATAATTGCCATTCTAAGTATTTTTATGGTATTAAGAACATTTGTAAAACATGACATTATTTGCCTAACATATCCATGTAATTTTCCATCTTTACGAAATTAATGTCGACTTCATAAATGTAAAATGACATTATTTATCAAATATATTGAAAAACATTCATAAATGTAAAATGACATTATTTGCCAAACATATTGAAAAACATGGCATTTTTATAATATTTTTTCCATTTTCGAAAAAATAAACATTATTATATATTTTTCAGATCCAAATTCATTAAATTTAAAATTTTAGAGTAAAAAAATTTAAAAAAAATCAGATTGTCATTCTACAACATTCTTAATTTTCAGATCTGAGGCTAGGGCATGGATATGGCGGCATCGAAATTATAGATGGTCGGTGGTGACCCTGGAACAAGGCAGCGACGAAGATGGTGGTGACGGCGGCGTCAAGCGACAACGGAGACCGGCGGCATCCGACGACGGTGAAGACTAGCGGTGTCCAGCGACGACATAGATTGGCGGCGTCCGGCGGCAGCAACGTCCGGCATCTGGTGGCGGCTTCAAGTGGCGGCGTAGGGCGGTGGTTAGGGGCAGCAGTTACTGGTGCAGGTACTGCCCCTGGATGGCGTCGGCGGCAACTTGTGGTTGGGGAAGGAAAAATACGTTGTTGACTTGTTGTGTAATGCATTAATTAGTTTATTATTCTATTTTGTATTTTTACTAAATAAGTTTGACTATTCATTAAGGGCATTTATGTCCCTTACTTATAATTTCCGTATGTCAAACTACACTGTTAGCTAGATGGGAGTCTTACTTTTGCATATTTGATAAGTTTTACTCCTAAACTCGGAATTTTCTCTAAAATCATTCCATCGGGTGGGGTGTTGGACGCCTCACGTTGGTTGGGTGAGTGTTTCCATGAGGTTCAGGTTGGAATTGAGATAAAGAAGCACAATGACCAGTTGGTATACCGTGAGAGCAGACCACGGTGAGCATGCTGCTCCCACAAAAAAAACGTGTTAATGTTCACGCGCGTGAACAATAACTTCTTTTTTTGTTTTTTCATTGTCCCAGTAGCGGAATATAATAGGTGTAACTCGAGTGTAACAAAATGTAACTCACGTTAATAAGAAATGTAACAGCAAGCAAGTCAAAATGTAACTTGTCTAATACGAATTATAAGAAATAAAACATTGATTTTAATGAAAACAAGGAGTCTAATTGCTCAATTACTTTACTTAAATAGCTCATAGGTTTTGTTTTTAATATTAAGTACATAATTATTTTTATCTTTTTTTGGGAAAAAACATTTTTTGGCCAAAAACTCATTTTGTTTTTGCAAAAAAAGTATTTTTTTATTCAATAGCAGGGGTTAACATAAATGGTGAATATATATTTTTTAATATTAAGTCCATACAAATGTTTTTAAAATATATTTTTTGCCAAAACACATGATAGTATTTTTTTAGGAAAACTATTTTTTTTGCATAACAATGATTCTTTTGTTTCAATAGTAGGCTTTATGTTGTGATGTAATTCGTATACAGAAAATGTAACCCGCGATTGAAAATCTAACTTTAGTGTATGCAAAATGTAACTTGTTTAGGCAAACTCAAATGTAACTCGCGTGTAGAAAGATGTTACTCACGCACAAAAAGATGTAAATCGTGCATAAGAAGATGTAACTCCATATAATATCAAATGTAATTATAGAAATAGTCAATAAACATAACTCACACATACGAAAAATGCATTATTCTCATTTTTTTTTTCGAATTTAAATCGAAATAAACAACCTTAATGACTATAAAACACAAAAAACATATAAAAGAGATAAGAATTATATTATAGAAAAAAGTATATGAATATAAAAAATATTTTACAAAAAAAAGTGTATAATAAATTTAAAAAAAAGTATACAAAGTAAGAAATAGTGTATGAATATGAGATACAATATTGTGTGGATTAATGAAATTTTGTATTAAATTGGTAAAGAAAAAAATTAATTCAGTTATAATTGAATTAGTTCAAGATAAAGATAAGTAAAAAATCACAAATAATTAGATATAACACACACATTATTACATGTAACTCGTGCATAAAAGTATGTAACTCGTGTATAAGAAGATGTAACTCACACATAATAAGATGTAACTCACGCATAATAACTTGTAACTGGAGTATAAGATGATGTAACTTCGTATATTATAAAATTTAACTCCAAGCTAGAAGCAAAATAAACAAACTCAATATCTTAAAAACCTCTAAAAACATATAAAAGTGATAAAAATATATATTATAGAAAAAGTGTATGCATATAAAAATATATTACAAAAAAATGTATGAATGTGAAAAAGATATTACAAAAAATAGTGTATGAATATGAAATGTAATGTACTTATTTTATTTAGATTATGAAACTCTTTGTTATGTATTGATAAAGAATCAAAAAATAGATTCAATTATAATTTAAATTGAAGATAAGGAAAAGTAAAACTACAATTAAATTTTTAATATTTTAATTTGATGAAAATGGAGAAGAATTAAAGAAAAGAAAAATAAGGAAAGAATATTAAAAGAAAAAGAAAGGAACAATCACCGGGGAAGAAAAGAAAGGAATGTAACTTTGTAAAAGTGGGAGGTGGACCGATCTCACGGTATAATTTGTCCAAAAAAAAAATTCAATGCATGTATTTCCCGGATTGAAATGGAACTACTAGACAGCCTCGTGTACAAATTTCTCTTTTACCTTCCAACTCGATCTTTAATTTCAATCTTTGCCTATTAGGTTGTGCTATTTTTTTGGAAATACTCTTTCTAAATCTATTACTAAGTACGTACTATAAAAAGTTGGATGGATTATAATAAGTGATTGTTACGATATCTCACAAGCATACATTTTTTTGGTTTTGGGGATTACGATACTTTTCATTATTTCATATTTGAATTTTTGCCACTTTTGGTCCCCTGAGTATTGTGTCAGTGACACTTTTGGTACACGACTTTTAATTTTTCCATTTTTAGTCATCGACTATTATTCGTGAGATACTTTTAGTCCTCTACTTTCAAGTTTCCCACATTTAGTCCTTTGAGTATTATCAAATTGACACTTTTAGTCCTTCTACTATGATTTTGACACAATAAGCGGAGGACTAAAAATGTCTCTATAGCAATAATTGAAGGACCAAAAGTGTCACTTCTACAAAAATCGAAGGACTAAATTCGAAAATTTTCAAAGACGGATACCAAAAGTGTCTCTCGCACAATAATCGAGGACTAAAAGTGGAAAAATTAAAAGTCGAGTACTAAAAGTTTCACTGACACAATAATCGAGGGACTAAAAGTGACAAAAACTCTTTCATATTTTAATGTGTCTACTAAGCAAGCTAAGCTACGTACTATACGCTAAGGTACGTATAACTTGCCTATATGCGCTAAGGTATAACTTGCCTATATACTCCATTTGGTTCTTAATACATGCAAGCTAAGGTACGTACTATACTATACGCTAAGGTACTGTACGTATTTTTTTCCCATTTGGTTCTTAATTAAGTTCCTGATTTGACTTAAAATAAATTTATTAAAGGGTAAATTGTACTGTATAGTACATTATTTTAATTTGACATTGTTTGGCGCTATTTGACATTATTTTGCACTGTTTGACATTGTTTTAATGTAGATTTGTTTATCAAATAAGAAAATAGGAACTAGCTTGGGACATCCAAAAACAGAAAGTATGAACTTAATTAAGAACCGGAGGTAGTATAACTAAGAGAATATCTTGGAAAAATTCTAGAAATATGAGTAAAAACGCTTTGAAATGCCCCTGTTATGTGTTTTTATTATCTAAATGAGAATAATCATTGTCAAGTTTAAAAAATACTACGTAGTACTATTATAAAATCTTTTGAAAATTAACAACTGTTACCATTAACAATTTTTTAAAATTTTTCTCATATGTTATGTTTACACGTGCTGCAGGCACAAAAAAGTCCAAACAAAACATCTCACTCTCTTCATTAATTAGATTAGACTCGAAAAATAGCGGGAGACTCTATTCTTTGAATTAAACCAGAAATGCACAAAAAATGGAAACTTCGATGCTTTTTGCAGGAGGAATTAAGTTATTAATTAATAAGTGACTAAGTGAGAGTTAATTATTGTACAATTAATTGTCCAAGAAACACGAAGAAGGTGGTTTCAGATTCAACCCCAAGTCGTCTTCGGCAATTCCCGAGAGCATTTGCCGTCGAGCCTTGAAATTATGAGCAGAATATGGATGCTGATGATGATCTGGGTTGACTCTTTTGACCTTTGACTCTAGTGGGACCCCAAATAGCTTCGTTCTTCCCAAGTCACTCTCCTCCGCCACGTCAACAACAGATGTTGCCCCGCCGCCGCCGCCGCGTCGCATTGCCGGAGTGGCGGCGATATTGTCCATATTAATTCTACCTTGGCGTATATTAGTGTGGTGGCTTACGGGCTGTTGATGATGATAGCTGATGAGTTGGTTAAGAGGCTCCCGGCTTTCACACGCCGCCACAGGCGGCGGTCGAGATTGAGGGAACCAAGCGGGGGCAACGTTGCTACTCGGAGTTACAGGCTTGACATGGTTCTGAACAAAATATATTATGTCATTGTAAAGATTCTTCATATGAGCTAGCTCCGACAATAGCAGATTGTTGCTCCTCCTCAGCCTCTCGTTATCCTCCGAGAGCGCCGCCATCACCGACTTGCCGGGGGAGAACGCCGCCGATATAGGCGAGTCACTACACCAATTGTTGTTGTTGATGCTGTTCGGCGGCGGCGGTATGGTAAGCTGCTGTTCTTCCGATTCCGACGGCGACGAAATGCTCTGCCGGCAAGGGTAACCAGGAGAGCAAGCAGAGCCGGTGATCGGGCAGTTGAGGTGGTGGTGATTGACGGCGGATTGAGGCGGCACACAAGTCCTTCTCCGGTGGATCTCGCACAGCAAGTGCTTCTCCCCTCTTCTGAAGAACTCGTTCGCAAACTCCCACCTGTCCGGTACTATCTTCCTGAAACCCTGATCATTACCGGCCGGCCGCCGGAAAAACAAGAAAATACACAAATTTCATAAAAATCCGATCTTTCAAAATAAGAAACACCAAACGTCCAAACCCTCGTAAGTATTGAGCTCACGTAAATTTATCATTAACTCACGTAAGTATTGAGCTGTCGGACAAAGGAGGAGAAGTTGTTGTGCTTGAAATAGTTAGGGAGGAGGTCCCGGGCGAACTCCGGCGGCCGCCATACGACGAAGGTGGTGTCGTCTTCTCCCCAAGAGACTATACGGTCGGTGCCGGGGTCGTCAACGAGTTGGTAGGTTTTGGAGAGAAAGGGAGCCGGTACTGTCTTCTGCGAGTCAACATACACCATTGATCCTTCACAGTTTTCTACCAACAATGCCATTTTTAGTACTACTGTAATAAGTACGTAGTAAGGTTTAATTTGATCGAACCTCCTTAAGCATATGTACAAAGAAACCGGTTTGGGCTATAAGAAGTAGCCGGAATATATGACGCCGACGTGGCCGCCGGTGGCAGGGGAGACGAGAGAAGGGTACAGAGAAAGTTTGATGGTAGACGCCGTAAGTAGAAAAGACTATATTGGAGTCGTGTTGACTTGTAAGAGATGAAGGTTGAAAGTAGAATGTCTGTATATAGAGAGTATTGTGAAATTTAGGGCCTTTCAAGACAAACCCGTGACACAAATAGTCTCTCCCCTGTCTGTGTCGCTTCATGCTACTCTGAAATTTAGAATTGATGGCTTCTGCTTCTTTTACTAAAAAAATCGGAATCAGAATTTTTTAATTTCTGTATTGATTCTCGAATAAAGAATTAATATAAAGTGTTTCGTAAATTATTTTATGTACATTCATTTTATGGATAATTAGATGGTCCCTTTAAGGAGTGTTTGTGATTGCTTCTATTTAAAAAAAAAAGATTTTAGAGAAAGTGTTTAATATTAAAAGTTAGTAGTGTTTGAAAAGAAGTGTTTTTGAAAAAAGTAAATGTGAGTAGTGTTTGATAAAATAAGAGATTTTTGTGTAAAAGAAAAAATAAAAAGCAATTTAAAGCACATCTCAACCTGCTTTCAGTTTTTAACTGTTAAGTGCTTAATTTAAAGAAAAACTGTCATTTGAAAATATCCATTCAACTTTTTTAAGCCAAAAACTCAAAAACATTTTTTTAACTTATCAACCTATAAGAGTCTAGACTCCGGAGTCTAGAGAGCTCCCAAATTGGCGTCCCAAAATCTAAGTGATGCTATCTTCGTCTCAACTTAAATTTCTCAATAAAAAATGACACGATTATTTAAAATAAATTAAATTATTGTAGGAAAAATGGTTCGTAGAGTTTCATTACCAAAAACCCTATAAATAGGGATAGAGTGGGGTTTACAATATGGACAAATAGGCCTATAATACATAATTTAAATAGAAAGCCCCTAATACATATTCTATCCAAACGATAGCACACAACATAGAATTTCCTTCAACACTCCTCCTTGTGCTGAGTTGTAGATAGAATGTTGTATTTGTTATTGCCTCTTCAGAACTTTGTCAAGTAACAAAAACCATGTGTGAAAAAATAACCTTGACTGGAGAGAAAAAGGAGTATAGCATCAAGATAGACCTCTTCCATTAAGTCTATCTTTATTTGATCTTTGTTTTGATCATTAAAGTTTATATGTATCGTTACTTCATTAAAAACCTTACCAAGTAACAAAACCCAGTGGAAAAAATAAAACTTGGGTAAGGGGAAAGTGTAACGTAATCTAGTCTGGTTTGAACCCATGACATGATTTCATCTATATAAAACTCATTGTGGTGAACAAATTTAAAACATCGTAAACTTTGGCGACTTCTAGATGCATTTAGAGGTCAAGGAGAATACAATTCTATTCATTTAGAAATTAAATATTTAGGCAATTCATCGCCCTTAATCGATCGTAGTAAAGAATTACTTCAATAAATAAACATTCCTTAATTTATTGTGTATGACACAATTAGTTAAATCACTTATTTATGATAGATTGTAATAGTTTGTAAATGTCACTCATATAGTTTAGAGTGCTATGACCTCACGTAGAGAGAGGCACATATATTATACTAATTCATGAATATGTTCCTTTATATTCATTATGTCATGAACAAATTTCATAAATATGCATTTAAGTAATCCAAATGCATAAATGTCTCAAATGTAATTTGAGATAAAACATTGAGATATTAAATCAATATATAATCTCAAATAGGTACACATAATTTATATTGAACTTCAAGACTCCAAATAAAAGTCTAATTTTGGAGAAGTAATTTTCATATGTCTAAAACTCATAAAAGATTTAAATAAAAGTCCTCCTTTATAGTAGCAATAAATGCCGGACAGGGACACGTGTCAAGCGCCCATTGGCCGAGAGGTCACCTCAACTGGTTGGCGCTGGCACCCGCATGTGGCCGCATTTAATGCGGTTGTTGGATGGGACGTTGTACAGAGTACGGTGATCTGTACGCATGTGGCACGGATATCATGTCGGGAAAGGTGCCCTCGGCTGTAGAGGACTAGCCGAGGGCTCTGAGTACCGGGGACCCCCTTGGTGCCGAGGGCTCCAGGTGCCGAGGGCTAGTGATTTTCGCCGTTTTTCCCAGTAACTTTGTTTTGCTGTCTTGGCCCTCCTGTGAGAGTTAGAGCCTTCGGCCAGGGGGCCGAAGGCACCCCTGGTGCGCATTGTGGGCTGCTTGGTACTCTGGCCGCTGTGATTTGGGCCTGTTGGGCCTTGTTTGGAGTAGTAGGAGTCTGTGGGTCGGGGGTTCCCGGGCCATATACTCCATCAGGAGTCCCTCACTCCTTTTGTCGAAAGGTACTTGAGGGAAAAGGAGTAATTGTGCTTGTCCTCTGCCGTTGTTTCGTTTGTAGTTCGCAGAGTCGTGGGTAGTTTGCTGTTTGTTTATTCCGCTGAGGGCAGCCCCGCAGTTACCCACATGTCGGGACTTGAGGGGTCATGTTTGTAATTTTTGTGATTTTTCCCGAGGGGGTCCTCCAGTCCCCCACTCCTTGAGGCACTTGCAAAGTGGTGAAAAGGAGTGAAGTAGTTGTGTTGCTGTTGCGGGCCGAAGGCTGACGCTTTTCGTTTCATTTTGGGGGGATGCCTCGTTAAAAACCTCATTAGGAAAAACCCTGTGGGAAAAAATCCTAATGAGGGAAAAAGAGTGCACCGAATTCCCCCAATGATGAATCGAAAATGTGAAACCTTGGTCCAAAATGGAGAATAACGGTAATGCCGAAGGCTTTCCTTGTTCTGAGGGCTCATGTGTTGAGTGGCCGGAGGCTTGTCGTTGATGTCATGGGAGGTGCCGAAGGGGAGCCCCTCAATCTGGGGATCGAGGGCGTGATGGATGAGGGCAGTAGTTGAATTGTTACCGGGGTGTCCCCTGCTTGTTAATTAGTTGGTGATGAGGATATCCGAGGGCTCCCATTACCTGTGTGCCGTAGGCTATCCGTCAATGAGGCATACTCCCCGGGGGCTACCCGGCCCTTACAGTGCTGAGGGGGAATCCCCGAGGGGTGGCCTGATATGAAGCCTTGGGCTTCTGAAGGAGTGATCCCGAAGGCGTCTGTTACGTACTGTGTGGGGCACAACCCGGGAGCGTTTCTGAGTAAGTGTACCCGGGGGCTCCCTTTGATGAAGTGGAATGAAGTAAAAACCCGGGGGCTCCCAGAATATAACCGTTGGAAATATAGCCGTTGGAATATGTACCGTCCGGATATAGCCGTTGGAGGGGGGTTGCCACGTGGTGCGTGCTCGTTGGCTGCCCGTGGGCGGGCGTCACCGATTGGGCGAAGACACGGCGAGTAATGATGACAGTCCAACCGGAGGCCCGGTTTCCAGGCCCAAGCCCGGATTCCGGCGCCTATAAATACCCATGGCTGGGCTTCCTTCCCCTTGTGCGAAATCCTTATAGCGAAGCTCTGCCAAATTTTCTAGAGAGAGAAACAGCAGCCCTCGATCAGATTCTAAGGTCAGTTCTTCATTCGCACTTCACCTCTTAGCTAGCTGTCTGTGTGGCCTTAGATTTGGTTGGTAGCTTAGAGTACTTAGCGTCTCCGAACCCTCGACGTAGTATAACAATGTCTTCACAGAGTGATTCTCAAGACATTTCGGGGGCGCCCTCGATGGAGGATGAAGTCCTTTCGGATGTGGAGTCCTCAAACGAACAGTCCTCGGCCCAGGAGGATGTTGCGATGGCGGTAGAAATGCAGAAGGAGCTGTTGGCTGAAGTTGAAGCCGAGGGCTTCGAGCAGGAGGTGGAAGACGAAGAGCTGGCCCTCGCCATGCAGGTTGCAGAGGAGGAGGAAGCAAAGGAGAGGACGAGGGTGACCGTGGATGTGCTCCCCCCGGGGTGCTGGTGAGGCCAGCACCTCTCGGCCGCTGAACGCGGTTCCCATCCGGGTGGCCCCCGGGAAGAAGAAGGACAAGGTAGCTGCTCCCAAGAAGAAGGGCAGCGTTGCAGATCAAGGGAAGCCCCTCGATATGCCCGAGGGGTACTCCTACCTGAACACCGCCGCCTTGGAAATAAGGTCGAAGGTTGATGCGGCGGACATCTACGTCACTCAGCTTCACGTGGGCCCCTCGGCCATCGTGGTGACACCGGGTCCAGATGACGTCCTCTCCCGGGCTCCCGAGGGCTGTATTGCGGTGCACGTTCTCTCGGTGTCCATGGGGCTCCGCTTCCCCCTGCACCTTTTCCTCCGGGAGTACCTTCGCTTCGTGGGTCTGGTCCCCTGCCAGCTGACCCCGAACAGCCATTCCTACATTACCGGCTTCCTTCAGCTCTGCAAGTCCCGAGGGGTGACACCTAGCCTGGACCTCTTCTTCTAGAGCTTCAATCTGTGCCGGGGGGAAGGGGGGGGGGGCATGCGAATGCCGAGGGCTTCGCAAACTTGCAGCAGGTGGCAATGTTCAAGCTCTTCACTGAGGCGCCCTCCTCGAACAAGGGGTGGAAGGACCGGTGGTGCTACGTGAAGCTGACCGAGAGCCCCTTCCCGAGGGAGTTGCGTGACCGTTTCAGGAGGCACGAGAAGAGGAGGAGCGCCGCCCTCGAGAAAGACGACAGGATTCTGGCCACGATCCCGGAGGGCTGGGACAAAAATATTACCATTAAGGAGTGCACCAAAGAGGAATATCTCTACACCCTCGGGTTCCGGCGGTATCGCTTCCTGGGGGAAACAGATGAGAAGTTCCCGGTGTTTGAGGGAGCCTCCGGAGGTAGTGGCTGAGGGCACCCTCATTTTCATATCTTAGCACATAGTTTATCTGTTTGTTCTTTTATTTCTTGTGCCTTCTGTTAGTAACCCCTCGATTTTATCCCCATACTATTTTTGCAGGTATCCCAGTGAATATGATGAACGTCAAAGGCCTTGCCCGATTCAAGAACAAGCCGGCCAAGGACCCGAAGGGGTCGGACGCGGGCGGCCAAAAGCCCGTTGGTGCGTTTTTCAAGAAGCCCGAGGGCGATGCTGCTGCCTCGAAGAGGAAAACAACGGCAAAGGAATCCCCCCCGGCTAGCAAGAAATCGAAGAAGGGGGACACCACGAAGAAGGACCCCCCGGTGGTGATTGTGGATGATTGCCCCGCCTCCGGGGTGCACGAGGAGATGCCGGTGGCGAAGGTGCCGAGGGGTGTCCGAGAGCCATCTCTTGAGGT